GTTAGTCCAGTTTCTTACTGTTAGTCCAACTTAATTTAGTCTAAGCCAATCCAAGGGTAGTCTCTGAACTTAGTTTAGTCTAAAATAATCCGGTGCAACAAACACATCACATACGTTAAATTATAGGTGTGAGACAAACTTAGGATGGGGGCTAACTCACATTGCATACGAGGGTACTGCACTTGGTACCAAACTAAGGAGGGCTCTTACGATATAGGTTCTCAAACCCTCAGTTGCACAGTCATGCGTAAGTGCATATGACATATAGAACCTCATGTTGGCAACTCTAAGAACTTTGATCGTGATTGAGCTATGCCGATCGCGATAGGATCAGCATATATCACCGCTTGTAAATGTTTACTCGTGTATATTAGTATATATCACCGCTTGTAAATGTTTACTGTGTATATATCACCAGCACATATCAACGCTTGTAAATATTCACTTATGTATATATCAATGCTTGTAAGCAACAGTGACAACGCAAACAAAGTCAACTTCGTGTTTAAATCCCATATGAACCCTAAATCCGACCACAAACTTTCTTACTTGAAAGAAGGTATCATGTACCGCACGCGTATAAGATGAAACATACTCACTTGTACTAATACAACTCTCTCAATGGTATTTAGAATAAATTAATCCAGTGGTCACTAAACACATAGACCTAGTTTGGTGAATCAAGCTCAGCTTCTCTTTTTGTTCTTGAAAAATAAAAGAAACAAGAATGTCAATTGCCCCATCCCCACCTTACCCTTGCATCCCCACCTATTTTGGTGTGTCAAGCTCAGCTTTTCTTATGGGCCATATCGACGTCAAATGCCGATGATATTTAGGCCCAATGCTCAGAGATGAGTGTCAACAAGATCACATTTGGACGGGGAGTTCCGGATGATCTTGGATCAGTACTTGATCAAACGCAAAAATTGCAAACCACATAAGTATCTTGTGCACACTTGTATACCCTAATATGATTATTATAAATACATTTTAATGGAGAAGAATAACAAAATATATTAATTTTTTAATTACAAACGATATTCTGCATTAGAATGTATGCTAAAGAAAAAGGAAAGTCCACAAAGCCATTGGTTATTATTTTTCTAGCTACCTACTGTTTAATATATTTGATAATACTAGAGAGATTAAATTTGCAAACTAAATAATACGTCATCAATAAGTAATAAACATGCTAATCAACACTTAAGTAATAATCCAATCATCAACTTTGATATCATTTAATTTACAAAATTTAGTCTATTTAGGAGTACATTTTTGCTCACCCACATTAACCTCAGTGTATGCTCACCATACACCTATATGCCTGCCATCTGTCTTAACTCCTAACTATAGTTAATTCCATTATTAAATATTCTTTTTCTAATTTAAAACACTGAGATTAAATATAAATAAATACAATCCCATTGCACTTCAAATTACACACCCAGATAACTTCGCAAACACCTAGCACGCCGCTGTCGTGACCACCTCTCCGTCGGGCGGCCGGATAAACCATCTGTTCACTATCTCCCTTTCTCTTCTTCACCCTTCTCCTCCTCTCTCATCTCTCTTTCAATTTCTCTTGCCTTTTTAGGTTCTGCAACTCGTTTTGGCCAACATGTGGTCCAATGAGTTGGAGAACTAGTTATCCGAGTCCTACTACCTATCACTTACCACCGATGTAGCAGTAATCTATGTTTTGAAGAAATTGAATAAAGACCATGAAGGCTTGGAAGTTTTTCAATTGGGTTTGTGAGAAAAATGGATTTAGGTTGAGTTCTTTGGTTGAAAGAGAAGGGTTTGGGATTTTTGGATTTAGGTTGAATTTTTCGGCTTGGGATTTTTGGACCCTTAGGGAAATAAAAGAGAAAGGGTTTTCCATTGATGCCCGTGGAGTGGAGTGGCTTTAAGTGATGGGTAAATAAGGAATTGGGGTTGAAAGGTGGTCACCGGCGATGACGGCGTGAGTGGTGTTTGTCTGGGTTGGCTTGGCTGAGTGGGTGGGTTTGTATTTATTTTTGTTTTTGTTTAATCAGTATTTTAAATTACTTTTAAAAATTGAAAAAGTATTTTAATAAAGAAGTTAACTATAATTAGGGAATGAGACAGATAGCAGGCGTATAAGTGTATGTAAGCATATGCCAAGGTTAATATGGGTGAGTAAAAATGCATCCTAAATTTAGTCTCAATAGCATTACTAAATTGGTTAGTTTATGTATAATTAATTGTATAGTGTATAAACTAGTTGATAGCTACACCATAAGTTATACCTAGAGGGATTGACAAAGCATGTATACCAATATGATTGGTACACATAGCCTCTCTGATAATAACACTCAGCTACTCATGTGTATATATATGTGTGTAACGAGTTCACTGCTCAAGCGTTAAGAAATTTGCCTCTAGACTCGAGGTTCTTGGTTTGAATCTACTCTTTTTTCATAATAAAATAACAAGCTAGTTTAATCTAGGAAAAATAAGGTGGTATTTTGCTTTTCAATGTTGAAAATGGGAGCTGATTTTCACTTATTTTAACCTCTCACTCATCTCTCATTATTTATTATCATCAGTTTAAATAAATCAAATAAAAACAACATATAAAATTAAACATAAATATATAGGTGGAAAAATAATTAATTTCTTGTGAAAAATATCTCAAGTTCGAAAACTGTATGTTAATGGTAAAAAAAATAAAAAAATATACATTTGTAGATAGTATATAATGGTATCTGTTTTACCTTCAGAAGAAATAGCAGCAGATCTGGTGTGGTACCGCTGCTCGATATTATTCCTTTCGAACGTACCGATAAGATTTTAGTGGCAGTGATTTTCCAACGTGCATGTGCAATTATTATAAGATCTCACATCGTACAGGGATGTGGATCCTGTAAGTCTTATATGTATATTCTTATCTCTACCTAGCACGAGGCTTTTTGGGAGCTCACTGGCTTCGGGTTCTATGGGAAATCCGAAGTTCAGCGAGTTCGCGCGCGAGCAATCCCAGAATGGGTGACCCACTGGGAAGTTCTCGTGTGAGTTCCTAAAAACAAAACCGTGAGGACGTGATCGGAACCCAAAACGGACAATATCGTGCTACGGTGATAGAGCGGGCCCTGAATGTGCTGGACCCCAGACCGGGATGTGACAATTATACATGTAGATATATGAATCTGTTTCGCTCTAAAAGATTCTCGTTAATTTGTTCATTGCATATTACTTGTTCCTGTCTTTCTTGGTTTGCATAATTTTGGTTTCTCTGATGCTGTCCTGAGAATTGCACTTCCTTCCAATGCATGCTTCATTTTCTTACTTTGTTTTCTACTGTATAATGTATAGTTGGTGAAGCAATAAGACTTGGAAATTTGAGTGGTCTCCCAGCTACTACTCTCTTATCTGCCCACCCTATATATGGTGAAGCCAAATAATTTGAAACGAAAACTCATGCAAATAGAAATTATCATTTGTCTTAGAATTTAAGAAGCAACAAATAAAATCCTTAATTGCGTGAAAAAAAGAGATGGTTATATATTTTTTCTTGTTACAGGATAACGGTACAATAGTCTTTCTAAATGAGAATGACAGTCAAAAATATAGAACAAAAATATCTCGTAACATCTCCTGCAAAGACAAACTACTATAAAATCACTAAATAGTGTTTAGTATCATATGAATATTGAATTATCTACGATTTCCTAACTTTTCTTGTGATAACACGTGTATCATTATCATAATAATGATTGAATGGAAAAGTAATCCAATAAGCAATTGTGATTAGAAGTTTCATAGTCCAATTAAAGCTGTGGTCCTTAATCAAACTCCGGAACTACGTCGAGGCCAATTAGAGGACCTCGTTTCCATGGAGGAGAGCATTCTACTACTTTACAATGGCTTTATGTCTTTGTCATAACTCACACCAAAGCTACTAAAACCCACCAACTTATCATGCAAAAATTATCCCACACCAAAAAATAAAAAATAAAACCAAAAAAAAAAAAAGAAAAAGGACAAAAGCTAGAAAAATCATCAAAATCCCGTGCTGATTAATCCACCATGTGATTTGTAAACCGACCAAAACCCAAGGGACATAGAAACCAAAAGCAATTGATTAGCCTTTTGAGCATTTAATAATGATATTAGCTTGAAAGGGTAGGTTGGTCATTGTATTGATATGCCCTTGTGACAATCGTCCACCACTCCTTGGAGGAGACCGATAGAGATGTAATCCAATGGAAATCACACCGTGATGGTTGTGTGTAGAGATCACAACCATAGTTCATTTGGGACCAACATATAAAGCACAGGGTGTAATTACATGCATAAGCCAATGTTGTTGTGAACTTAATGAAGTTTGAAACCTTAAAGTGAAACTAGTAATGATTTTTAGAGGAAGAAAAAGTTGATAGACAGGGTTGACAGTCATTAATGAGCGAATACGTGGTTTTGGTTGATTAATTGTGAAACTCTTTTATCAACAGTTGACAACAATCTATAAATCAGGACGTAAGTGATTGTTTCTAATAGGACTCGTAGTTCATATTTAATCAACCCACTTATATATGTGTCCGAAATTGTCTAAGAAGAGAAAATGCCTCCTATTCACATAGCATTGAGAGTTTTCTTTGGCGACTCTAGTGAGTGTATAATTGATGTCATACATTTTAGCACATATATGCATTGCTTAAAGAAGCGAATTCCATTATTTTTTAACAACGATCAGAACCATTTTTCTTTTAAAAAGTTTATGTTTTTCTTATCTTTCTTTTAAAAAGTTTGTGTTTTTCTTATCATACTTTGTTTTCTTGCGCATGATGCGGGAGCTTTTTTAGTTGTAAATGCTCAATTCAATCGTGCATGTACCCTCAAAACACTGGTACCCGACCCACTATGACAATCACTTGGCGCACAGGGCATTGAAATAACCAGTCCCTTAATTTCTTATGCAAGGGCATAAATGTCATTTCATAGAAAAATATAAATTATAAGGCCTAAGGCATAGACAAAGTAACAACTAACAAGTGTGAGTGACACTCACATTAAAAGCACTCGCATTACAAGGAGACGGTTCCAATATTGTACATGGAGCAACCACCATACACTGAAGATGACCCGAGCACCACCACCACCCTCCCAAAAGCTGACTCACAAGGCGGAGGCACCCGCCACCCGGTGTACCGAGGAGTCCGGAAGCGGAGGTGGGGGAAATGGGTGTCCGAAATTAGGGAACCACGCAAAAAGTCACGCATTTGGCTAGGCTCTTTCCCTGTGCCGGAGATGGCTGCCAAGGCCTACGACGTTGCCGCCTACTGCCTCAAGGGCCGAAAAGCGCAACTGAACTTCCCCGAGGAAGTTGACCACTTGCCGAGGCCGTCCACGAGTACGGCTAGGGACATTCAGGCAGCAGCAACCCAAGCAGCACATACAATCATGAAGTCGTCACATATCACCAGAAAAAGTGACGAAGACGACAATGATCATCATCATCACGGCGGAATGGACGGTGGAGATGATTTTTGGGGAGAGATAGAGTTGCCTGAGCTGATGGATACTAGTGGGTGCTATTGGAATTCATGTGGCTGGAATATGACTTCGTTTTCAGGTGAAGCGGCGGCGGCGGCATGGCCAGAGGGAGAGGCTTGTCTCTGATTAAGAAGTGTTGGGTGTGGTTGGTATGGTCATCATATATATGTACTAATTAATTAGTTAGGTAGATTAGGTTGTTTTTGTGTGTATCATTACTCCTATGTGCTTGTTTAGATCCGCAGGTTTCAAATAAAATCACAATTAAACTTGAGCATAATTCTATACAAAAAAAAAAAAAATGAGCATAATTATCTCATAAATATATGAAATTCGTGATTTGTGTGCATGAGTAGCTATTAATTAATTAGTTGGTTAGAGGAGCTTCAACTTTCATTTCAACGAGTCAGAAAGCCTTTTCATCACAATCTCATGAAGAAATTATTAGTGATCTTTGATGCTTGGATTATATGACTTAATTCCTTAGTTTTAAACTCGTCAAATCGAATTGATTTTAGGAAGGAAAAAAATATATAGTTCTTCCCCAAAATTACTATCGCGTTTCGTGAAATGTTTGTGTGTATCTACAACACTGTAACATGGTGTTATTATTTCACATTACGATAGGGATTGATGATAAGGTTGAATGAAATAGTAACACTGTGTCGTCATGTTCCAAGTATATCAAAAGATCTCATGTTTCACATTGCTATCTAAATTTGGCCTTCTTTTTTTATTACAAACGATATTACTACTTTAAGCTACACTAAAGAAAGATAGAGATTTGAACTTGAGATGCAGTGGATTAAAGAGAAATACCCTAACCATCAAACAATGCGTTCTAATGTTCTTGTACCGTTAATTTCATGCATCCCATATGTCTATATTATTACCAGTCAAAACAGAAGCAATTCTAATGACTTGAAAACCCAGTCAGATGGATTTTGGAGGTTGATTGACTTGTTAATGATGCTTCCACTTAGAATTAGGCCCGTAATATTGGAGCTGATTGCTCGGTACCTGCATATATCAGCATGTGCAACAAAACAAAATGGACAAAGACATATATGATAAATATTCCATGGAACATGTTAAGTACGCCCCCTAAACTTGACCAAATTGTTGAAATTAAGCAAAAGTTAAGACTTCCATTTGAAAGTAACAATGGTATTATGGTAACCTCAATCTCAACTAGGATTGGCTTGTTAGACAATCAGTGTCTCTAATCTTAATTAATTGTGTAAAGAAATGAAAAGCAGCGTATATCAAACTAACATCCTCCCTCATGCACAACCCAATTGTGCATCTCAATTGTGCGAAAACAACTAAAAACTGCAGAAGCGGAGTTTTGAATGATTGAATCCAACATCTCTCGATACTATGTTAGACAATCACTAAAACCCTAAATCCGAAACTTCTTTGTTCAACCACCAAACCTCAAAAAGCTGGCCCTTAATAAGTTGGAATTTGCCAATAATGTACTTGTATATATCAACCAGCGATGAAAGTGTCATACATGCCCACTTGAGAAGTAGATACTTTAGGTTTAAAAAAGAAGACAAAGAGAGATGAAGCTAGCAATCGAAGCCATTGTCAATGCACGCGCATGTGAAATGAAAAAAGGCAAACCCCAAATTAAGGCCAAAAATCTGGTTCATTGCGATTAACCACATTTCTAAACTATGGTAGTCGAGTGAAATTGGTCACAAACTCATATGAGTTCAATAAATACAAATTTATTCAAGCGATATTATATTTTAAGGGCATATGTATACATGAAGAAGTTAGCAAGAGGAATTGAAGCAAGTGGCTCATAACTCGGTTGGTTAAAAGTATTCGCACTTACACTCGAAATCTCATGTTCGAATCTTCTTTCCAGTAATTTATATGAGTTTAGTGTAACTTTTCTTTTCACTTGAATAGTCCACCAATTGCGCATGAGTTATAGATTTAGTTTATTAAGTTTTTATTGTAGTGTAGTAAATTTGACAAACTATTATGATATATATATTGAATTTTGGACAAATATTTGTAATTATTCGATACTTTTATTTGAAACGTTGCTATCTAACTCTCTTCGAGGCTTTTCGAAGTGCTGTCCTAAATTCTGATCCACATGCACGTCAGTGAAGTGTCGCCAACCCTGTAAAAAGGCTTAAAACATTGAGAAATTCTTCAAGTAAACTTTACTGTGAAATGCATATAATAACGAGTCCAAATTTGGACCACCGGCCTTTTGTTATATGTAAAACGTATGGGAATTGTCAATTCATATCTTGATGATGGCCGCAATGTATGCAATATTTTTATTTATCTATGGTGATTCTAACCGTTAATACTACTAAGAAACACTTTACGAATTAAACAATGAAAAATATCATTCACCTAATAACTGTTAACATCAAATACAATACAATAATAGACATCTACAATAACATATACGTCAATGTCATATTTTCTTTCTTCTTCGTAAAAATATATAAAAGTGTTTTTCACTATGAAATTTAAGTTCAAGAGGCTTTGACAGCCTTTTTTGTTCTACGTGCTTGTCAATATATTTTTAATTAAAATAATTTCAAAGACAAGTCGGGTGTAGTTTCAAATTTCTTGTAGCTATGTTATATGAAGGCATATATACAAATACACCCATATCTCTAATATTAGAAAGTCAAAAGCACACTTTGGTGTCTCAAGGATTCATCAAAAATAATTGTACTAAAAAGCCCCTAAAACAAAAAAAACAAAAAAACTAAAACTGACCGAATTTGATACATAAAAAACACAAGGGCAATTTTGTCAGAAAATAAAATATTTAAAAACACACTTAGAAATTTAAAATTGTTTTAAAAAAAAACTCAAAAAAAAAAAATATTAATGTGGGTTTAGGATCACCACGTTCAATTCCAGTTTTGCAATTGCTATCAACATGTTGCCGTGCGGTTTTAAGACTCCAACGTGGGATAAAACAAGTATAACCAATTTCTAATCACCTCGATCTCGATCTCGACTCGACCTCTCCAAGTACGTCTTCCCGATTCATCGATTCTTCTTTTTTCAATTGTTTCGATTTTTTGCCTTGCCATTTGTTGATGGAGGTGTGCGATTCTGAATACGGTGGAAATTGCAGTGATATCAAAGGAATTATGTCACGTAATCAAAACTTCTGCCCACTAAGGTATGTGCTTTAGCTTTTGCAATTTGCATTTTTGTGCTTGGATTATTAGATTGTTTGACTTACAATTCTATTTTTTAATAGTCGAAAGGCCAAAATGTGTAGGTTCGGTTGCCTCAAATTGTTATTGGTACAGCTACAATTCGATATGGAATTTGCTAAAAGAAGGGAATAGGTTTTTAGACATGTGAATTGGAATTTACACACTTATGCCCAATTCAAGCACAAGAGACAGATTGATGTATACGATAAATATTTTGAAGTGTTAATTCTTTGTATTTGTGCTGCTTCACTTTGTTTTACAGCGTGTGGTTAGTTCTTACTAATGTGTATCAATGCATAAGTTCCCCTTACTTAGCAACAGGGATTTACCCTAGTTTTTCAGGGTGTTGTAGCCTCGAGGTCATCTTTTCTCTCTCTGGATCTCTATTCTTTAATCATTGACTCATTTTCCTCAAGGTAATGAAGTTAATTTAGTCTTCACCGTTCTGTGTTTTCTTTGGTTAATTTTTTTACTCACTCACTCTCTTCTTTTTCTCTCTTTGTCCAACTAGAAGTGTTCAGTATAAAACGAAGCCGCCGCCGACTTTTTGCTTTTTGGTTACGGTTTAGGTGAGGGGTGAGTGTGGCGGAGAGACTAGCTCTTAGGTTTTGGCTTGCAGATAACCCTAAGTGGAATAGTTGAAAGATTAAACGGGTTGCAAAAGAAGTTTCCCATCAGTGGCTCCCCTTGGACAGAAATAATAACATCTAGGAACAATTCCAGGTTAGCATACTCACTTTATACCTCAGATCTTGCCACGCGGGATTAACTTCAAGGTGTGGGATAACCAAAGGGGCATTCAAAATTTTAGCAACAGCAATTGCATCAAAAAAAACCTTTTGATGAAAAAAAAAAGACCAATTACAATAAATTAGACAATCTCATTTTGCACACCAACAGTTTGCTCTGTTGATCCACGTGCTACACAAATTCAAAACCAATATGTAAATACATGTGATCAACTAAGGCATCACTTTTTCATGCACTATAGACTTTGATTTATTGGTTGAATTATGAATTGATGTTATATTATGGAGAAGTGTCCTCACACTACATAAATATTAGAGTGAAAAGTAATGTATCTTTATCCTCTAACCTCACAACATTAACATAAATGGTAATGTACGAAATGTGTGACATAAATTTTTATTATTGATCACTTTCATATGTTACTTAACTATTATATTAATTTTCCTCTCATGTTGTCTTTTCTTTTGTCAAATAAATTATATTGTGTCCATTTTTTTTTCAAATGTAGGAATCCAAAAGAATTTAAAGTGGACTTCAACAGATCAAGTATGTAGAGAAATGATAGGAGCAACATATCAGAGATCGTCTTCTTATCTGCGTTATTCCTTTTTTGTATCAATTAAAATTTTAGTGTGTTTTAATTACTGGTTCAATTTATATTTTGTTTATATTAGTATGGTTCATTTGCCTTCACAACAATAAAAATAAAACACTTTTCCACTCAAACCAAATGTGGAAGGGACAAAAAACTCTAATTGTCGTGCGTAGTGCGCCAAGATGTAAAAAAAGCCTTTCACACGCGCAACGTGCGTGCAAAAAGGCTAGTATAACTTAAGGGAGTGAGTTTTGCATTCTCATTATCTTCGATGCACTTCTTTTTATGGTCTATGAATATAACAAATTAAATAAAAATGAATAATTAATAGATATAAGTAATGAAGCGTTGAGAAGAAAAGAAGAGTGCGGAAATCAGTAGTTAAACAGCTATGGAGACCACTAGCTAAAATGCATTTGAGATAAAATGACACTTGAGAATAATTTGGCAAAAAGTGGGAGATTTTTAACACGAGGAATTTCTGTCATGAAAGATGGGAGACAAATATCTCAATGGTGGGACTACAGCAGCAGGCACAGAAATCACTGTTACAAATGTGGAAAACACCATATTATATATGAGACACTGAACGAAATAGATATATCACTGCATTATAATGTATATGTATGGGTTTGTCTGCAAATATTTGTGGAGCCATAAACATGCTCTCTGCAGAGATTGATTTAGAATTTCTAACCTTTTCACTTTCCATTTTACAGAAATGACAAATGATCATAGTTTCCTGCACTTCTTACTGATGTTCAGAGACAGCATCTATGGCTTATATATCTGCGAACTTCTTTTTAACACTTTAACGGTTAGATTTTGATTTTAATATTTTTAAATAAATATTTAAAGATTCAAATATATGGAAGAACAAGTACTCCGAAGTATTTGATAAAATCTTATATATTAGCTATGATCAAAGAATAGTTTCATATGGTTCCTCTCCTTTTACATACTATTAATAATTTGTGTCTTTTGATTCTCTTTTGATTTATTCAATTTAAAACAAAAAAATAAATAAAAGTGTTCGCAGGAAAAAAGGGTGTTGAAAAACTAGTTTCCTTAAAAAATTACAAATTTTATGTTATGCAGTATCTCTTTCTCCTCTTTCCTTTTCTGTTTCTTAAGATAACAATAATCAAACATGAAGAGAAAATAAAAGCCAATACTTTTGTACACTAAAGCATTGGACGACCTAAATTTGTATGACCAAATTTTGACAATTCCAATCTAATCGCTCAAACACCGATGTTTTTCGATGCTTTCTATGCACCGATATACTATAAGGAGAAAACCCTATAAAAGAGAATCCTAGAATTTTGTGTGAACGAGCAAGTATATGCAAGAAGACATAAACAACCCCAAGGAGAGGGGAGGGGGTGGGGTTTGCTAAATTAATTGCTTTGTTGGGTAGTACACCTTATGTTTATTTGGACCACATAACACACCAAGTCAAGTGTAACACGTCAAGAAATGTTTTGGAAGAAAGATGTGGAGGGAAATATAAGGGGGTCGATCTATGTCTATATCACAGTTTTAATTTTCGGCCAATAAAAATTATAAAGAAGTAAAAGAGAAAAATAATAAGAGAGGAAAGGTGAGGCAAGCATCACAGACATGCGCAAAACATGTGAAGTAAAAAATAATCAAGAAAAATATGATGGTGACACGTGAATTTTTGAGTGAAAAAAGATAAAATTACCCTTAAGCATACCGGAACTCTCACACGCAAGTAACGGATAATCACGACTCAATCAAGGTCAAAAGTGATCAAAATAGGTATTTATTCAAAACGAATTTCATCCATTCTCATCAAATTCTTCCCACAAGGTAACCCTCAATTATTCATTCAAATTAGGATTAATTACCTAAATTAATTGATTGCTTTCCTAATTAATTAATTAATTTCCTAATTGATTGCAAGATATTATTTTGACATAATATCTTGCAATTAGAGCAAAAAACCACCAGAAGTGACCGACCCTTTCTCTCTAAAGAGGGTCAGCCACACCCCTATATAAACACCCTCATTTCTCAAAAACCTAAGTCTAATTCTCTTCTAAAATTTTCCAAATTTCTCTAAACACTTTCTCTCTCAAATTCTAACTTTGGCATCAAAGGTTCTTTGGCCAAAGCCCCCATCCCCCATTCATCGTGGGCACGTGAGACTCTTGGCCTTGACCTATGGTGTTAATTGTTTTGTAGGTGCATTTTCATCTAAGAAGAAGAAGACGGAAGTTTGCATCCACAAATTGGTGCTTTCATTGAGAGTTTGATTCACACGCTCAAAGAAGACTCTTGCATTCAAAGTTTCTCATTTCTCGTTCGTTTGTAAATTTTTCATACTTTCTTATTCCTAGAATTTTTTTTAATTCTTTAAATAGAGGTAAGGGAAAAATACAATGATGGGAAATTTAGAAACCATGACAAACGAAACTTTCTAGGTTCAAAGATCTGGATCAAATGATGGAGGATGAGACGTAGCCCCACCACGACGATCCACAAGGCTTAATGCGATGGCAAGAGGAGTAACTTTGCCACCACAGAGCACCACCATCATGGCAACCACAGGGACCACTGTGGCAGTAGGGAGTGGACTAACTTCATGGCAACCAGTCTATGGTGAGCAGGGAGCAATTGCATTAGCAGCCCAAGCAACCCACGCTGCAAGGTAGCCGAGCTAGGCCCGTCACGAGACGGCCCAAGCCCTTGCCCCAGCAGCGCATACCCAAGCCATGCACGCTTCCACTCAGCACACGACCCAAGCTGTCCAAATCCAAACAGCTGAGGCAGATGAAGCAGCCCAACACTCGTGGGCCCAAGGCTAGCGCTAGCCCAACGCGCTCTAAAGTCGAGCCTAAGCCTAGTACCCAGGCGCACCACACGCGGACAAACCTACGTATGTGGCCCAGCTTACTCTCGTGGCTCACCTAGCATCCCAAACAGGTCCAAGATCGGTTCAAACCGTCTTGACTTCATATTTCAAGATTGATAATTGAACTGGGGGTATTTTCACCTTATTTCTCCTCATATTTGACATGTCCTAACTCAAATCTCGCACCCGTAGTCTATTACACTTCCACTACTCAAGAAGACATATACCGTCCAAACTTTTCCACCCCAAATGGTGAATAACACTTGTCTCGACAAGTCATAGAGTTGACAAGCGCCCTCGCGCAGCAGACTACCTTGGTGAATCAGTTCTTGCAATGTGCCCCACACGAGGTATCCCGAAGTAGGACAAGGGCAAACGAAAAATCTCTCCAGCAACGTCCCGGCAAGCAGCTCCTCAACCAACCACGATCCGAGCGTTCTAGCAGTTTACGTTATAGCCTGGGTCCTTGGGATAACGTATACTCTCGTCTTAGCATGTAGAGGAGCGTGCACTCCCTATCAATCCTACATACAAACATACGTTCATGGTTAAGGCCACACTCTGATTATCAACATGGACAACCTTCCAAGTGAAGAGTTCATTCACAACTAGGCTCATAAGGAGCATTCTTCACCTCACATCGGAGTAGGCAGTATGGCGGACGGAGAGAAGCAATCACGTAATCCAGCTCAAGTTCAATGGGCAGTCTGCGAACAACCCGCTCGATTGCTAGGAATATGCCATATGCATCGTAGCCACAATATAGATGAGTTGAGCATAGGGAAGAGCGGTCTAAACCAATAAACCGAGGGCAACTGTTAGTTCTACTGCCCCAGCAGAGGCAAATTTAAGAAGAAGTTAAGAGGCTCCTAACTAAACGATTGCGCAATTTCCAGCGCAACAAAGCTACTAACGATGCGATTCGACGAGACATGACCAATATAAGTAGGTCACCATTCGTGGATGAGATCGAGCAAACAAATCCACCTCGCGGGTTCACTATGCCTCATTTCACTTCGTACAAGGAAAATGAAGATTTGGACCGACATCTCAAGCATTACCGCATTACCATGACCCTCTATGGGAACAACTACGTGCTTATGTGCAAAATTTTTGCCACAACTCTACAAGGCGAGGTGCAAGATTGGTTTCACACCCTACCGTCACAATTAATCCAGAGTTTCAACGAATTTTCCTTAGTTTTCACTAAAGAGTATTCGTCTAACCGCTCAATCAAAAGGACATCCGACCATCTCTTCAGCATCGTAAAAGGCCCTTGGGAGACAATTTACGACTATGTCAAGAGGTTCAATGTGGAGAATGCCAAGATTGTTGGCTACAATGAAGATATAAAAATGGCAGCATTCAGAAATAGGCTTTCTACCGAACATCCTTTATTCAAAAAATTGATCATGGGAGAAGAATTGAGCTTTGCAACTTCGTATGCTTTAGCGAAGAAGCACGCACTATGGGACGAGGCTAAACAATCTAACAAAAACAAGTCAGAAAAGAAGCGCATGGAACATTCCCCGACCAAAGAAAATTCAGCGCCCAAAACATTCACCAAGTTCAAAGTTCCAATCAGCCAAATTCTCTGTAAGCTCAAGAACGAACCTTAGTTCGAACTGTTGCCACCCATGAAGGGCGATCTTACCAAGCTGGATCAGACAAAGTATTATGCATTTCATCAAAGTAATGCCATACTACCAACGACTGCTAGAAATGGAAGCAGTACCTTGAGAAGCTGACAAGTAAGGGCCGGTATGACGAGTATCTTGACAGGTAACGACATGGCCTACACAAGTAAGGGAAATCTCTATTACCCCCTAAACCTCGTTAGGGCTTTTCCAAATAAGTTCGAAGTCTCAAGCAACTCGATGAACAAAACCTTGCAAGCCAAAGATTATCCAATTTGTTATGCAGTTTCTACCTTCCAGCATAATTGATCTATTTCTTTATTCTCAATGAAGATTCAAGAAGTTATTCATAAGCCAAGCTCAACTGATGTTTACAACAACTGCTCAAACCCCCATCTGGGTATGCTCTCCAGTGCCAGATGATAAACTAATTGCTCTCCAGTGCAAAAGGGTAAACTAATTCTCTGACACCCATATGGGTTTGCTCTCTAGTGCGAGAGGTTAAACTAATTGCTCTCCAGTGTGAGAGGGTAAACCAATTCCCCGACACCCATATAGGTAAGCTCTCTAGTACGAGAGGGTAAACTAATTGCTCTTCAGTGCGAGAGGGTAAACTAATTCCCTGACACCCATCTGGGTAAGTTCTCTAGTGCGAGAAGGCCATATAGCTCAAAAGATCGAATGCTTGAAGACCAACTAAGCAGCAAATGGTTAGGGAGCAGTAGTCACTTTACATTCAACATTTCACTCATCTGACACTTCATCTTCAGCAGCTTCGATCTTGGCAGCTCCATCCTTGACTGCTCCATCTACGGCAGTTGAGAAATCAAACTCAAGTAGATTCCTTATTTTTTGGCAAGCAGCCCAGACGTGGCAGCCCAAACCTAAACCCATGCCACACCACTTCCTCGACCCATGTCTAGCAAGTCATTGGCTTTTAGTCAAGCCGAACAACACAAGCAATAGCCCTTGCCACACCTCCTTATTGGCTCATGCCAAACTGACTCTTAGCCATTGTCAACCGACGTGCCGCAACACCCCGACGGCTACCCCATGGCAACACTACCCAAGAAGAAGACAAGGAGAATTAAGTTTTTCTTATATTGGTGCAGCGTGAAGAAGACAAAGAAATCAGCGGATGACAGTTCTTTGCACGGGCAAGCAAATAAGAATGCTAGGGAAAAGGGAACAAATATCCTCTAGTTTTCTCTCTTTCATGCAGGGATAAATAATTGCCCTTCGAAGTTGATTTAATCCCTTACTTAAGGTAGGCTTAAATAGGCTTTGGAGGCGATTTTTTTCCCTTTCCTAAAAGAATTTAATTCCAAGTCCAAGTGAGAATTTGCATCAAAGTTGGAGATCTATACACTTGATGCCCTTTACTGCAAGCAGTTCAGCAAGTGTGGGGGCATTTGTGGAGCCAAAAATAATCAAAAAAAAAATAATTGGTGGTGACACATGGATTTTTGGGTAAAAAGACAAAATTACTCTTGAGGCACATCAGAACTCTCATGCTCAAGCAGCGAACAATCACAACTCAATCAAGGTCAAAAGTGATCAAAATAGGTATTTAGTCAAAACATATTTCATCCATACTCATCAAATCTTCCCCACAAGGTAACCCTCAATTATTCATTCAAATTCGGATTAATTACCTAAATTAATTGACTAGTTTCCTAATTAATTAATTTTCTAATTAATTTCCTAATTGATTGCAAGATATTATTTTGACATAATATCTTGCAATTAGAGCAAAAAACCACCATAAGTGTCCGGACCCCTTCTCTCCAAAGAGGACGGCCACACCCCTATAGTAAACACCTTCATTTCTCCAAAAACCTGAGTCCAATTCTCTTCTAAAATTCTCCAAATTTCTCTAAACACTTTCTCTCTCAAATTCTAACTTTGGCATCGGAAGTTCTTCAGCCAAAGCCCTCTCCCATTCATCGTGGGCACGTGAGGCTCTTAGCCTTAACCTAAGGTGTTAATTGTTTTGCAAGTGCATTTTCATCCAAGAAAAAGAAGGCGAAAATTTGCATCCACAAAACATCCCTTATGCTGCGCGCAAATTCAAGCATGACATGCTGCCCAGCAATCCAAGCTTTTCTTTGAGACATTTTATCAAGTAGTTAACAGGCATATGTGAAGGGTAACTTCAACTTTCACCAAGTCATCTCTAGAGATTCACCGGAGTTCAAAAGGTCAGAGAATAATATAATTACAACCAAGTGTAAAATATTTAATACTTAGACTTACCAAAGATTATGTGAAAATATAAATTTTAGCCAAAATGAAAACAAATATAAAACTGAATCTAGGAACTAAAAATAACACGAACTTCAGAAAATTTTCACCTAATCAAGCTCCATCGTGTAAGTCGTAAAAAGAGAGAACAACATGAAAGTTAAATTGTTATCGTGAAAGTGAGAGTAAGTACTTTGCCGTTTGTAGGATACGAAGAAAAGTTAAACAATGTTTGAATCCCAAATGATGAATAATGCATTTTCTAGCAAGATAAGAGGAACATCGATTGGAAATTCTAGAGCAAAAATATATGATCAAGCACATCAATTAATTTGGAAGGAAAGAGTTTTGTGGGTCTTAAACTCTTATTCCAAAGTTGAGGTTAATTTGGGTCAGCTTAAGGAAAGGCCTATTGTAAAACGTGGCAAATGTTGAGCTCAATGTTAGGCAAGACTTGTTCGCTGGTTATCATGGGCTACAAACTCAAACCATTACATAAGGACCCAACAAGGTACACTTCGATTGAATTTTTCTGGTGCGCATCAAATATACACATTTGAAAGTCTAGTTGTATTCAAATTCACTTGTAAGTGATGTTAAAATATTCCACATTGACTGCATCTCTGATAAAATTCCATACCTGTCGGACTGTACATATGGTAATAAACAAGTTGGAGACAATATCAATGTTGTTGGAAGTGGACATTTAGCCCATCTCTGTACTAATTCTACACTGTATCAGAGCTAGGGAGAGGGCTCGTACTGCCACCTAATGGTTGGGTCCCCTTAGCCCGCACGATGATGGTGGGTCCCTTGGCCTCTCCTCTTGGCTCCACATGGTTGCAGATGTGTGGATCTCCCATGTGTGACCCACAAATTGTGCCCCACATAAGGGGGTGTGTTGAAATATCCCATGTCGACAAGAAGAGTTTAAATATCTTAACCTCTGTGCATGTGATAATTAACAAGTTGGAGAAAATATCAGTACTATTGGAAGTGGGCATTTGGCCCATCTATTTGATAATTTTACATGTGAAAAGGCTTAAGTTCGATTCCCGCCAAAGACGAATTTGAACCACATTATTGCTAGCCCATTATGAAACTAAGCCTATCCCTTTCCCCTTAGTGTAGATAATATCATTGTTCAAAAAAAAAAAAGTTACACATTGGAACAAGAGTCGTGAGAGCTTGTTAGGTTAAATGATTTAACAGCTCTTGTACATATGTGTAACTTAAATTTGCACCAAAGAAAGCCTCACACTTTGATATGGTAATTCATTTCTAAATTCATTTTTGTATTCTATATTTTCTTCATTCACTTTTTTTTAATTTTTTTACAATGATGTTCCACTCTAATTGGACATTCACTAACTAGTTATCAAACTCCACACAAATATAATACTTCATCGCCATTCATATGAGTTAAACATAACACCTATTACTAATAAGTGAATAGGAATATCACTAGACCGTAGTACTAATTCGTTTGTTTATTCACGTTTTGTACATGTTAGTCACGTCACAATTTTTTTTTTAAAAAACAATTGAAATAGAGAAATATCTACATTAACGATGATAATAAACTTCAATTTATTAAAGTTTAAAACCAAAGATTGTTGTGACATATGTTCTTATCAATATTGTGATTGTGTAAATCCTAAGTAGAGATAGATTAGGAATCCTTTGGAATCTAGAAGATCTTTTCCTATTAGACTTTGTATTACTTAGAGAGCAAGTTTCTCGCACAAGGACAGAGGAATTAACACACAATTCCTCAACCCTATTCTCCACTCTCTTTCTCTCTATGCCGCACCCTTCAGTTAAATATAGGCCACAACAAAGATTACTTTTTGAATGTCATTATTATTTATGTATGGGATGCCAATTGGGCTGTTCTGGTCGGGAATTGTCATTACCGTAACTAGCCCGCCAAGTATATAGGGTCTCCATTTGGTATAGAGGGCTCTGTTACGTTTTACTGAAATATTTTTCCTAATAACAATTAAGTATTTAAACCAAAACGCTACTACTTTACTAATAAACTTTGTGATGTCATATGCATAAAACATGGTAAGACACACCATATAATATTTGTTGGAGGACTTTTAGGCCGAGCTGGACTTGGGCTTTGGTGGATGCCTTTTTGCTTCCCTGGTTTGTTTGCGTACCAAGTCTCAGGATACTCTAAAAAATTAGCGTTCCTTAGAGAGCATTGTGGTTAGATCAATGATTCAAAGATGGTGTAATAAGGCAAATAATGACTTGTTTAAGCGAGGCGTGGTGTGGAAGCTAGAAATTTATCTAATTTTTGCCTGAGAGAAAACTTACATGGTTGCATGGTCGTGAGGGATGGATGTTCTAGGTTCTTTAAAATTCTAAAGGTGCTTCTATTGGCTAAGGAAATTCAAAGGAGACATAAAGAAACGCTTAAAGCCTTAGAAGGATGATTTTCCTTAGGATTCAAGACTACCTGCACTTAGAGAAGGATTTCCTTGCTTGGTGCGATGCAATTCTGAGTCTCCTCATTTTCTTTCTTTGTTATGTTCTCCCTCTTATCTATGTTGCTTTCCCTTTTATAGACGTAGAGTGTCTTTCCTAGGTTTCCCTCAGGCATCCTTTGGTTTCATTACTTTTGCTTATTTTGACTTAGTCTTCCTCTCTCTTTTCCGTAGCGCATCTACGACTTTCCTTTTTAGCGTAACATTAATGAAAGTCTTCACAAGAGCACTTTCTTCCCT